AGTCTTTTTCTGTCTATTTTCTCACAGTTTCCTTCTCAGTTTCTAATCCCTCCAAATCTAGTCCAAAAGGTAAGGGTTTTTCCCTTTGAAAACTGCTGATAGCTAACGCTCCATTTTTGTGAACAGCATGCAAGCAGATGTCAGTGCTGCATTATACAATTTTCCCTCCATACCATTGTTTAAAACCACCTGTTAAAAGCTTCAGGGGAGAAGCTATGGCATTATACTTTATTTAGTTGGTAGGAAAGGGAAAGCAGGCATTTGTTAAACAGCAGAGACCCAAACAAGGGTTATGCAGTGCTGATGCAGCCAGACAATTCTGGTGGTCACAAGCATTACAGATGCAGTCTTGATAGTGAAATCTACATGCTTTATCTGGCCTTCAAAGTAGCCAGCAGGTTTGTGAAGTAAGACTTCCCTTTACAAATACACATGAAAGACTGTCACTTTTTCCTGTATCTGTTAATTTTGTTCTATATTATAATTTCTACTGATTTGTCTGCTATAGCCATTAGCCTTACCACACTGCAGTTCCTTTGACTTTGCCATAAAACCTTCTAATACCATGGGATTACATTATCTGGAAGTCCTGTGATATCCAAATGGATTTTTAAGTAGGAGCTTCCACATCATGTTTGGAAGCTTAGCAACATAATCTTTGATTTCTTCTAGATTTTTGGACATCTGTATTTGAGGACTGAGAGGGAAAAAAGTCTTTGCAATGAGACTACTAACCTGCTGACAAGGATGTGAAATGAGCTTCAGCATGGGAAGATGACTTAAGCCCAGAAGTGACACAGGAATAGCTGCAAATGTAGGAATTTTCCAAGAGAGAAGGAAAACATGATCAGAATCATGGAGATATGGTGGGATAGTACGCATTACTAGAACATGGTCACGTGAGGGTACAGACTGTTTAGGAAGAATAGGCAAAGAATATGAGGAGGATTTATGCTTTACATTAAAGTGCTCCATGATTGTGCATGTGAAACTATAGACATCCCGTCAGAGACCAGAGGAAAATGAGGGATATTGTGATGAGGTCTGTTATAGACTACCAGACCAAGACAAAGTAGTGAAGGAGGATTTCTACAACTAGTAGAAAGGCAGAAGTCTCCTCTGCCTTAGGGAGGATTTCAGCCATGTGGACATCTCCTGGGAGGGCAATGGCACTGCGTAAGCAATGCCAGTTCTTAGACTGTGCTAATGACAATACCCTAATGTAAATACTGGGCAGGCAATGCTGAGTGCTGGAAACAGGGATGAACAAGTGATAAATGCAATCCCAGATGGCAGCTCAGGCTGCAGCATCCACATGATGACTGAGTGAAGGATCTAGTGGAAAGCTAGGGAGGTAAGCAACAGAATTAGCACTCTCGACTTCGTAAGGCTGGAATTCACTGTATTCAGGGAACCGTTACAACACATTTGGCAGCAGCTGTGAAAGAGAAGACTGCTCAGGAGAGATGGTTAGGGTTTGAAGGAAAATTATTGAGACCTCAGGAACAAACTTCCTTGTTCTGCAGGAAGACTAGGAACTTCATCTTTGGCTAAGCAGCAAACTTCTTGATGAACTAAAAAGCAAAAGTATCTAAGAGGTGGAAGCAAGGGCTGGCAACAAAACAGGAGTATGAAACATTTCTTGAGCACTTAGGGACATTAAGCACAACAGTTCTGCATGGGTGATGCAGAAGGGAGTTCAGAGAAAATGTGTCTACTGCTGAACATGGGAGACCATTTAGTGAGAGATGATACAGAAAGCACTTAAGTATGCAGGAACTTTTCTGCATCAGTCTTCCTGGGCAAATCTTGTCCCCAGGCATATGCATCTTCAACAGATTTTGAGAAGGAAAGGGATAACCAACAGTGGGGAAGTCCTAACCTACTACTTAGTGAAGCTGGAATTACTAAGAAAAGCTGGATGTATTCATATCCAAGAGGCTGGGTGCCACTCATCAAAAGATGCTGGAAGAGTTCACCCATGTAATTGTAAGGCCTGTGTTTATCATTGGTGAAACATAATGACACACAGGGAAGGTCCTATATAAATGGAAAAAAGCTAGTGTTATGTTCAGCTTTAAAAAAGGCAGGAAGAAAGATCAGTGAAACTGTAAGCTGCTCGGTTTTACTTTAGTTGTTTGAAAGATCACAGAATATGTCTTGGTATTTATTGCAAAGGATATAAAGGACAAGAAGATAACCAAAGAAACCAACATATATTTACTAGGGAAAGTAATCATGCTTGACCAACCTGATTGGCTTCTATGATGAAGTGACTGTTGCCTGTTACCAGTTCTTTTCTCATAGTTAGCATGACCTGAATTCTCTGAATAGCATAAGCACGGAGAAGTATTAACAGAGAACTTCAGTACTGGAAATTACAAGAACAGGTAGGAATTCAGCTTCAAAATTTCCAACTCTCTTGAGTTCAATCTGTTTGGTATGAGTATACTGTTCAACCAAAAAGGAAGACAAGGCCATAGTCAGTACATGTTCCGAATAACTGAATGCCTCATCTTTCTCCAAGGATCTGTGAGGGGCAGCTGAATATACAGGGAAATTTGGCAGGCATCTATTCCTATATGAAGAATTATTTTGTGAAAGTTGTGTGATCAGATCAGATATTAAGTGCCCTCCACATTACTGTGTTGCACTAGACAAGAATGCAAAATTACCGCGCTAATCCTCTGGTAATGGGCAGTTTTCTTCCTAATCCATGTGAAAAGATTAACTTTATGAGATATTCAGCTGATCCTGTAACTTGTGTAGTGAGCTCAGGGTTTGGATTCCAGTCTGGTGCCCAAAATGTGGGTGATGCATTGCCAGAGCACTCTTGGAAGGGGGTCCTACAATACAGGGCATTGTCTGATGCTGTATATTACACTGGACCCCAAACATTATTTTTCTAACCTCTTCCCTGTGTTATTCACTGAGATATTGTAATAATTGAAATGCAAATGATCAGAAGAAGAATGTGTTTAGAGCTGGAGGATCTGAAGGAGTTTAAGTGATTACAGCCCTTCCTAAAACAAGATCGGTTAGTCTCTTGGACTGCCATCAAATCTCCTTTTCCCATACCATCAGCATTACACAAGACTGCTTGCTATCTCTAATGCTCTGGTACAAGCAGTACTGTGTTGTCGGATTTTTCTGGGACTGTGAATGTGTAAATATGCATATTTTGATGGCACAGCAGTGCTAGACAGGATTTGTCAGAATGCATACTATCCGGAACTATATGGTGAGATGATATGTGTGATTGTGTTAAGAGCATGGGTGGGTAAGGCGTGTTGTTTTGGGGAGTTGTAGGTAGAGGGGGCTATGGGAGCCTCTGGAACTTCAGATTTGACACAGGGAACTGGTTATTTATGCAGATGATGACAGGAGCAAGTATATGTCAAATGCAAGTAAAAAGTGCAAGAGAGTGAGCAGTAAGAAAGCAGAATTTCTTGAAGAATCACTATTTAAATGAAATATGTACAAAACTGTATATTATCTATGCATGCACAAGTGTGCGTTTTAGTTTTATACCTCAAAAGTCAGCTCAGGAATCTATTCACACTCCATTTCAAAGTAGAGTCTCCAATTACTTGGGTTCAGGCTTCCAATTCACTGTATTTCAAACCCTCTCAGCTATTGAGAGTCCCATACAGAAACAGCTGTATAAAAAATTTTGACTTTCTGCTTATTAGGAAATATCACTGAAAAGTGTTTCTTAATAACAACCTTTTGTTGTTTTTTGACATACTTTTCCTGTTCCTTTCAATGCATGTGTTCCTAAAGCACCATAGACGTTATCATCCCCATTGCATGACTGAAAATTCATGGTATAAACATATCAAGGAAACTACCATGGGTCAAGGAGCAAATCACTGAGAAAGCCAGCAATAGGAACCATAAGTCCCTGCATCCAAGTTCTCTAAGTGCCTTGAGTAGTCTAGATTCTCCCCTTAACACTCTTGACAAATTATTTATAGATGTATTCACACAGTCAGTAAGATATAAAAATGTTCTAATTATATCATTCAAATCAAATGACAATTATGCCCTTAGTTTGCCAGACAATGCTTTGCCAAAGAAGGTTTGCCAGAAATGTTTTGACCGAAGAAAGGGGGAGCATCTGCAGCATCTGCAGACGACACACTATAAAATCTCCCAGGGACAAGTCTGGCCTGTCTCCACGGAAGGCTTCAAGGTAAGTGCATGCATTTTGTGAGCTTGAAGAAAGAGGACAACATCCTTGCTATATCCCATTCTGTTTCTCCTGCCTCTGGCAACCATTTGCAAGAAGGAGTGCCCATGTGAACAAAACTTTTCAATATAATTTCAATGCATGTCTCTGTCTTTAATCTGTAATTTGTCTCCGGAATTCCATGAAGCACTAAAAAATAACTGCCATTCATGTTTTACAGATTTGGCCAGTTTCCAGGATACAAACCTTTCTCCAAAGGTAACACCCTGAATAATGCAATCCTAGACTACATTCTAATACAGGGCTTTTATATAGCTGCATGAGTTCTCTTAATAAATTCTCTTATATTTCTGCCAACTTTTGCTTAGGCTAGACTGTTGAAAATAGGGAAGATCTAAAAAGTGAAGTAATTTTTCATTTTTAGCACACAAAGTAATGGTTTTAACAAGAAAGTACTCTCTTGAAGAGTTGTCACTCATAATTAAGAACCAGAACAGAGAGTGATTTTCTCTGGGTATAGATTCTTTTCTGTGAAGACCTCAAATCTTGTTAGAACTCATCCAGGAGATCTACAAAACTTTAGTCAATACTCAGAAGATGTTCAGTTTACTGTTAGAAGGCCTATCTTTTAGAAGGCTAGGTCTCGCTTTTGAGTGGGACTAGGGTACTTTTAGGTTCAAATCAAAGTGGCTTTCAGTGGTTGCTTTTAAGAGATTTTCTGGGAGACTAGCAAGCAATTTATTACCTAAAAAGCAAGGAGTTTTCTCACTGATACCATTTATATTCTTCTCAGAACCCTTTTTTTTCCCCACCAGACACCTCTGCTGACGTGATTTCAATAAAGTGCAGACATGGCCTCTGCAGACTCTGAGATGGCTGTTTTCGGGGAGGCAGCTCCTTACCTCCGAAAGTCAGAAAAGGAGAGAATTGAGGCCCAGAACAAGCCTTTTGATGCCAAGACATCTGTCTTTGTGGCCCATCCTAAAGAATCCTTTGTGAAAGGGACAATCCAGAGCAGGGAATCCGGGAAGGTCACTGTCAAGACTGAAGGTGGAGAGGTGGGTGAAAAACAAGGCTGAAGGACACCGTTTGATTCCCACTCTGAGCTTTTAGCTGACATAGAATCACAGAATTGTAGAATGGTTTGGGTTGGAAGTGACCTCAAAGATCATCTGGTTCCAACCCCCCTACCATGGCAGTGACACCTCCCACTAGACCACGTTGCTCAAGGCTCCATCCATCCTGGTCTTGAACACTGCCAGGGATGGAGCATCCACAAATTCCTCAGGCAACCTCTTCCAGTGT